TCTTCATCCCTTTTCTGGCTAGGGTCCCTCTCCCCAGACCACACGGCTCTGGTTAGCTGTCAAACAGGCCACACACCCTCATGGCCAAGGCCAGCCAGCCCCAGTACAGAGTCCTTGTGGATATGGTGACAGTCCAAAGGTAGATATGTGATCAAAAGCACAGCCAGCCAGAATCCCTCCTTGAAATTATAATGCACACTGGCAGGATGAAGCTGGGATGACATACTGCCATAGCTTCTGGCTGCCATCTTCCCTGGTCTCCTAGAGGAAGCCCATCTTAGCAGAAGAAAATGAGGTGAACAGATAGGCGAATGGCTAAGACCACAGCAGAGAAATTCCAGGAAGCACTGAGTCTCAGTTCCAATATCTGAGGGTCCAGTTCTGGATGCCTTTATTAAAATGCTGTAAGTTACTCGCACCCCAAGATCCTTCCTACTTGTGGGAGAAAATATTCTCCATGTGTAAGTTGTTTAGTGGGTTTCTGTCACCTGGCAAGAGAAACTGCCTAATTAACCAACCCCTACTACTATTTCCCATCTTTTCCTCTCCTTCACTTATGCCTTGGATCACATTTCTCCCTAGTTCTGACAGATACCAGAGCCTAGTTTTCTAATGACGGACACCTACCCTTCCCACAGTTTAGCTTGAGTTCCTTCCCTTTAAAAAACAAACACACAACAAAAAACAAAGCCTTTCTCTTTTCCTTGAATTGCCCTCAAGCTCTCTGCCTCTAGGTCTTTGCTCAAAAAGTCCACAGATGTCTTCACCATCCTTTCATGTTCTTCTTCCTGTAACCTACTGCAATTTGACTCCTATTCCATTGAAACTGCTATCCCAAAGATGAACAATGACCTTTTATTTGCCAAATTAGAAGAATGTTTTGTCAAGGTAGTTGGCACTTTGTTAATGTTCAATAAAAGTAAGCTGGCATTAGCAGCAGCAGCAGCAGCAGCAGCAGCATCGCCATGCACCATCATCACCAGCATCAGTTTTTATGTTGCTAAAGTTATTTTATAAGCCTTTGTTGGGGCCTAGGGTAGGCTACCCCAAACTATCCCACAATAGCATACTGATTATTTTGAAGTAAAGTTACTTGAGAAGCAGAAAGGGCATTCTGAGCCTCCTGTTTCTGTTCCTCCTGAAAGCAGGAAATAAATCTCTCATGTGAAAGGTGCTCTCCTGCATCCCAACCACCAGAGCTAGGAATTCAGGGCCGAGAAGCCACAGCAACAAACCTTGCTAATTTACCACCTCAAGTCTAAACTCTGCTTAAATTCCTATTTATATACCTCAAATCTAAGTTTCCTTGTCCTGCCATTCCTCACGAATATATTGTTTCTTTGTGCAAAAGATAAATATACTGACTGCTTTGTTCACTCTCTGAGCATCATTTCTTGAAGATCTCCAAGAAGTACGCATTAAACTGGGGTTTTCTCTTGTTAATCTGGTCTTGCGTCAATGTTATTATTAGTCCAGCCATAAGAACACAAGAAGGGAAGAAAGGGGATTTTCCCTTGCCCTGACACCTTTCTCTCCCCTTAGATTGACCTTTAACAATAGGTCCTGTCTTCTCATCACTGCATCCTTAGCACCCAAGATATATGTTTGAGGAAGGAAGAAAGAACCACTGGGCTCTAGGAAGGTGTTCATGTAATCATCTTGCACTAAATTTTTTCTTCTTCTTCTTCTTCTCCCCAAAGCCCCCCAGTACATAGTTGTATATTCTAGTTGCAGGTCCTTTCGGTTGTGCTGTGAGCACTAAAATATTTTTAACAAAAGATGTACTAAGAGAGTCCCAAACAAGACTTCTTCCCTGACTCCCAACCACCAGTAAAATTCCGGTGGAAGGTCTGGGGGCCCTCCTCACTTCTGCTTCCTTCTCCCACTTGCCACATCATGGGATCTAACACCCTTATAGGCCAGAGTCACGCGTGGCATGGAGCAGAGGGAGAGAGCAACACTGTTCAATGGAAATATAATACCTATGTAATTTTAAATTCCATAGTAGCCACATTAAAAAGTAAAAAGAAATAGGTGAAATTCATTTTAATGACATACATACTCACATTAGTAACATATACATGATGTTTAAAACAGTATATACAAAATATTATTTCAATATGAAATCAATATAAAAATTATTAACGTGATATTTTACATTCTTTTTTCATGTAAATCCTTGAAATATGGTACTTATCTTACAGCACACATTAATTTGGACTAGCCACACTGCAAGTGCTCAATACCCATATGTGGCTAGTGTGCCGGACAGACAGGAGTAGAGGCTCCAGCAGAGTAGGTCCCCAGGGAACCCAGAAGGTAGATATGAGGTCAAAGTGACAAAGCAAGAGGGGGACTTTATGAAATGCAAATCTACAGTCATTGTCTTTCTTTAAAAAAAAAAAAAAAACAAACACTTTCAATGACTTCCTGTTGTTATAGAATAATGACCAAATTTATTAAAAGGGCTCACAAGGCCTGATGGTCTGGGCTTTTCTGACTTCTCCAGTCCAGTGTTTTTCTAACCCATGTAAGACTCTGGCCTGTATGCATTATCTATAAGACTTCTGTGGATGGCGAGCTGAGACAGACAAATAATACCAGAATTGCTAGGGGTTTACTCTCTTCCCCTCCCACCTCATGGCCACCAACAATCTGGCAAAGTCTGGGACCTGGAAGAACCACTCTGTGGCTCAGCTCCAGGACAAAAACAGACTAAAACAGGAGGTGAAGCCACTCAGAAATTAGTGGGATCTCTAAGTGGAGTGGGAATAAGGGTTGTTCTCAGGGTCGAGAAAAGGAATTTTTTATAAGGTCATCATACAAATGCAAAAACATCTGCTTATTCATAAGTGAAACTAAGGGAGGAAAAACTTAGATGCAAACTATGATACACATATCACAATAGCCGCTTGACAGGGAAGGAGGACATGGTCAATATCATTAATGAACTAGGAGTTCTGGCCTTTTCCAAAAAATATTTTGTTTAATATTCAGAATGCGTAATCCGCATGCATATCCAGAAAAGTGAAATCCAGGTATCAAAAACCTATAAGTAGGCAGAGTTCAATTTTACTGAACTTATAACATATCTGCAGAATTGTACTAGAAGAGCTGTTTAGTACGATGTGAATATTATTTCCAAAATGCATCTTTTAGAAATGTCATAGCTCGGCAAAAGTAAGTTTATTATCAATCCTATTTAATAAGTGTTTTTAAATAAAAATATCACAGACAAATACTAGTGAATTCTACTTAAATATGAAGAATTTTTTCACAACGTGGTTCATACTCCTGCGAGATAAAAATATATCATGATAATGTGGTTGCCTTTTTGCTCCTCAAAACACAAAAGCCGATATTTAGAGATTGTCCTTTCTTAGAGTGCTACCCAAAAAAATATCATACATATGTGTGTATGTATATGTTTTATATAATATATAATTCATTAAATGCGAATTTTGGATTCAAAAAGGTTAAAGGAAATTTTCTAGTACATAAAAGATTACAACAAAGAAAATGATGCCAGGTTATCTGTCTTTTATACAGAGTGAGGAATTTTCACTTTACCAACAGGCATAAGACTAATTGCTTTAAACATTTTTAAAACACAAACAGCCACATATCCTGGAATAGATCACTGCCTAGAAGTGTGGATAAAATGTCTTGGACCCAGTTATTTTAAACTGAATTAATAAGGAAGAAATAATCTATGAAATAATAACATTTTTATGAAAATATAAAAAAAAAAGAAACAAGGAAAAAATGCACAAAGGATGACAATCTCTATAAATGGTGAGGGCATGATTTCCAGAATATAAAATTTAAAAAAGCAAAGTGCAGAACAGTGCTTACTGTAAGCTACACACTTTTTATAAGAAAAAGAAGAAAAGCAGGCCAGCCCTGGTGGCCTATGGGCTAAGTTCAGCACGCTCCATTTTGGCAGCCCGGGTTCACCCATTCAGATTCCAGGCGTGGACCTACACCACTCATCAGCCATGCTGTGGCGGCGACCCACATATACAGCAGAGAAAGACCAGCATGGACATTAGCTCAGGGCTAATCTTCCTCAAGTAAAAAATGAGGAAGACTGGCAACAGATGTTAGCTTAGGGCTAATCTTTCTCAGAAAAAAAAAAAAGAAAAAATAACAGGTGTCCCTCTGCATCCATGAGTTCTGCATGTACAGAGTCAACCAACTCTGGATGGAAAGGTCTAGATGGTTGTGTCTGTAATGAACATGTGCAGACTACTTTTTCTTGTCATTATTCCCTAACGATACAGGATAACAACTATTTACATAGCATTTACATTGTATTAGGTATTATAAGTAATCTAGAGATGATTTAAAGTATAAAAGAGGAGGTGCATAGGTTATATGCAAACATTAGACCATTTCATATAAAGGACTTGAGCATGGGGGTCCTGGAACCAAACTCCCACGGATACCCATGGACAAATACCTTCTCTTTTGCAAGAAGGATAAATAAAGAACAATGGAAATGTTTATCAAGAGAAGACGGGTGACAAGTGAGATTTCTGAGTGCAACTTTTTACAAAGGTTCAATGTTTTAACAATTTAAATGTTTTACATTTTCAAAAACTAAAATTAATAAGGAGAGAAAAGCTAAAATTGAATACAAATAAATGAACTAATCTATATCAAACTGGTAACATAAATAGAAAAAATTAATTGTAGTCACTTTCAAACACAATACCTTGACCATACAGCCATGGTGAGATATAATCTAAAGATAAAAAGAAGCGCCAAGATTCCTTCAACTTAACCCAGTTGGTTTATTGACGGTTGGAATAAGACATCATAATTTTAAAAAACATTGTAGGGTAAAGCAAGCAAATATATTAATGGTATGGTGAAGCATTAGGGACCAAGATTTTCACTGCAAGAGATAAAATGGAAATGAATAAGCAGTTAAATTAAAAAAAATAAATAAATGCGTGTGATCCAACAGGAACCACCGGCCACCAGAGGGGACTTACTTCTTGGCAGTACTGCAGGATGCCCTCCTTGGTGCCAATGCAGGTCTTGGTCCCTGATGGATCTGACTCCCACTTCCCATTCTGCACATTCATGTGCATGTTCAGTTTGCCACAGAACATGGCGATCTGGGGTTCTGCAAGCAGGCCAGCATTGCCATCCGTGGGCACCTAAAAAAAGAAGTTTCGGTTAGTTATAGAAATCCATAGCGCTGAGGCAGAGATTGGGGGAAAGGCTGTAAAGAGGAACATGGCACAGAGCAAAACCCAAAATAGTTGTATTCCTGCTAATTCTCAATTATGAATTAGCCCTGCCTTCAGCATTCCTTTGAGTTAAATATTATGTATGCCACATACGTCTCCAACCACCCATAACACAGTATGTTTTTTCACACTGAAACGAAGAAATTAGTAATATTGAGAAGAACTTATTCATTGCAAAGCTTATACATTTCCCCATGGCAGATTTTGTAGTGCCTGCTGAAAGGTTCTGAAAATAAAATAAGATGCTTTTCTAAAATAAATATAATCGCTCTGGAGGAAACCACATTCTCATAATAACTCCATCTGACTCACACAAAGGACAACGCCAAGTTCCTGCATGATGACCAGGTCTGGGAGTGATGTTGTGTGTCACCTCCTAGGGCTGAGGGCACGATGCTAGTGTGCATTAGTTAGCAAGTGACTGCATTACGATTTTTTGAACAGAAAAATTACTGAAGAATTTACCAGGCACAAATGTGACTGAAATATGTTGTCTGTTCCACCAGTTTTTGCCAGAACATTCTCCAGTATCTCTCAGCTCTGAAGAGTATGGTAAGGGTGCTGGTGTCCCGTCTCCCCAACCACACTGCCAGGAGGCAACAAGGACTCACTCAGAGCCGAGCAGAGTCCGTGCCATGTAAGAAGCTCTCCATAGGTCTTAGCTATTCCCACCGCAGGCAATACACCATTCCATGAAAATAACTTTGACAAGGTGCCCTTCTGTATTTCCAAACCCTTCTGTGCACAGGTATTACCTTCACATCAATATTTTTAAAAGGGAAAATGGAAGTTCTGAAATACGTACACTACCTCACTGAAACAGGTTCTTTTATCTCAAAAAAGGAAAACAAAAAATCATCAAGAGATGAAAATTAAATCCAGAGGAGTAAAACTGTGATTGGAAACCAAGGAATCAAAAGACACATTAAGCAAAATAATTCCTCCCTTGTTAAATCCCAGCTGCTGAGGAAATCTGTGATATCGATGCCAAAAGTTCATTTCCAACAGAAGCTATTCACGCAGTCGAGAACTGGGTGATTCTATAATAACTTGTATCATTTCTAAAAAGTGTTCACAGCCGAAAAAACAACAAACACTAAAATTGCACTGAGACAGCTGAGTTAAAGAAATAGCTTCCTGACACTTCTTCCCACGGAAACATAAAAAATAGATCAAACATCTGTCCATTCTAGTCATATTCATATATATTTTGTCCAACCACAACAGTGGATTTATGTCCTTTAAAAACTAAAAAAAAATCTTGAGGCTGGCCCAGTGGCGTAGTAGTTTAGTTCATGCACTCTGAATGAGCAGCCCAGAGTTCACTGGTTCAGATCATAGGCACGACCTACACACCACTCATCAAGCCATGCTGTGGTGGCATCCCACATACAAAATAGAGGAAGACTGGCACAGATGTTAGCTCAGCGGCAATGTTCCTCACCAAAAAACAAAAAATTTTGCACTGAAGCCAGCTGAGACCTATCACAGAACTGGATGCAAAAGCTCCTGGCAAAATCTCTAAAACCCTGTCTCGAGTAACATTTCCTACATTTCTAGTTTGACTTTGTAAGGTATATTTAATTAACAAAATTCTACGTCTACACTGCCAGATGTAACAAACAGCAGTTGAGGCCACAGCATCAGATGGTCAGCAGGAACAGCTGGGACCCCTCAACTCCCCAGTTTGGGTCCCTTGCCACCTCCTACAACTTCCAAGCCAGAGACTGAGGGGCTCATTCTCCAATGGATGCAAAGAAGCAACCTGAGGGGAGTGCTCTATAAACATAAGTTTCACAGCTCTCCTGAGCAAGCAAGAGGAAATTCAATGCCTGGATCCTAAAAATCAGAATACAAATTTTGTCAATTTTATTGAAATAAGTAGTAAGATAATAACACTGCAAGGAAGTCAAATAATAATCTGATACCCACAGATAAGGCCCTATATTAGATGCGATGGAGGATATGAAATATATTTATTACATAAATATATAAATTTACTTATTTATAAAATATGGGCCATGCCTTCAAGGAATTTACAACCCAGTAATGGAATCACCATTGTATTCCCTACGGTACTTCATTCTGCTCAAACTCACTCTTGTCCTAGAGATTTCCAGTCTTAGCAGAATCCTGGCACTTTACCCCTAACAGAACAGAGTTATGATCTCTGTACCTCTGTTCCTTACAGTGTCTATTTCCTTGTCAATACAAATACCCTTTATTCCATATCCTCCCCTAAGGAACACTTACATGCCAATTTCTCTCCCAGTGGTAGAGAGCCTCTAAGAAGGCCCCCAGGGATCCCAGCCTCCTGGGATTCACACTCTTGTCACTGTCAGCGCCATCCCATAATGTATCAGGGCTTGTAATATAGCCAAAAGGATAGGTGACTTCAAAGGCAAAGTCATAAATAGCACCACGGCTTTGTCCTTGCTCTCTGGGATCACTCCCTGTGGGCGAGGTCAGCTGCCATGTTGTGGGGATGCTAAAGCAGCCTTATGGAGAGGCCCCGATCCTGAGGAACCAGGTTTCCTGTCAACTGCATGGTGAAGGAGCCTGGAAACATCCTTGGAAGCCCTCAGAGACCTAGAGCCAAAACCACCCAGAAGACACTCCCAAATTCTTGACCAACAGAATCTGAGATAATAAATGTCTGCTGTTTTAAACCATTAAGTTTGGGGTAAACTGTTACACAGCAACAGATACCTAATACGCTCCTCCTTTTCTCCAGCTCCATAATACAGCCACAAATAGCCTTTGATCTCCTCAACTGAGAAAAGTAAATACATAAAAAATACTGCCCTCCATTGTATTATCCTCTAGAGCAGGGGGTCAGCAAATTTTTGCTGTCAAGGACCAGATGAATATTTGAGGTTTTATGAGCCAAACAGTCTCTGTTGTGACTACTCAGCTCTGCTGTAATGCAAAAGCAGCCTCAGACAACATGCAAAATGGATGTGGCTGTTTTACAATAAAATTTTATTTACAAAACGGGCAGTAAGCCAGATTTGGCCAGTGAGCCACGGTTTGCCTATCCCTGCTCTAGAGGAACTATCCTCTTCCCATTTCTGGCAACAAATTAAATCAATTAAATCAGCCAGTGATTTATTTATTTATCTTGAGGGTGGGGGGAATTCTATTTTTTTTTTTTTTTTTTTTTGGTGAGGAAGATGAGCCCTTAACTAACATCTATGTTGCCAATCTCCCTCTTTTTGCTTGAGGAAGATTGTCACTGAGCTAACATCTGTGCCAGTTTTCCTCTATTTTATGTGGGGTGCCGCCACAGTGTGGCTTGATGAGTGATGCTAAGTCTGCACCTGGGATCCTAACCTGCGAACCCCAGGCAGCTGAAGCAGAGCACGCAAACCCAACCAGTACTGGCCCCAGCTGGTGAATTAATAAACACTCACTGATAACCACCTTCTCCCCTGCTTCTTAAGCCCCCTGTAATCTGGTTTCCATTCCCACCACTTGATTCAAACTGCTTTCTCAAAGGTTCCACATAACCTCCTGAGAAACTACATATGCTTTTTCTTCACTATCTGTGTCCCTCTTCAACTTTGCCATGCAGAATCTTCCTTGCAAGTCTTTTCCCTTGGCATCTGTCTTCTGTCGCAATGAACTATCCTGGCTCTCGTTACTTCTCTAACTACTAACTCACAATCCTTCTATTCCACAGCATAGGACATTCCTAAAAATGGGGCCATTGATTCCCATTTACCTACTTTAAAAAGTCTTGGTGTTCTCACTCTTTCAACCCTTAGCTGCAGAGAGGCAACTCCAAGATAACAACAACAATAATAAATGGCAGCAGCTAACATTTCTTTCTTCATTCCAAAGTTTGAGTATATAACACGTGCTGGGCACTGATGTCATTTTGGGGACAAAGCAGTAAATCAGGCCAAGTCTTTGCCCTGACAGCAGGATGACCAATCATCCCAGTTGGCCTGGGACTGAGGGCTTTCCAGGATGTGAGCCCTTTAGTGCTAAAACTGGGAAAGTCCCTGGCAAGCTGAGAAACTGGTCACCCTACTGATCACCCTGCCTTTTTTGGATCACCTACCATTTAGGATCACCTAGGGTAGGTCACCCTACTCTAAATGCTTCTTCATTTTTTCCTATCTTGACTTCTTAATTTCTTTTTATTTCTTCTACTCTTCACTTTGTCATCCTTCCCTTTTCTTGACTTTACAGTTATTTTGATGCCATCTGTTTGTATGTTTGTATATCCAACTACCACATGGTGGTGGATCTTTCTCACATCTCTTTAATTAATTAATTAATTATTTTGAGGAAGATTAGCCCTGAGCTAATAGCTGTTGCCCATCCTCCTCTTTTTGCTGAGGAAGACTGGCCCTGAAGTAACATCCATGCCCATCTTCCTCCACTTTATATGTGGGATGCTTGCCACTTGCCAAGCAGTACATAGGTCCACACCGGGGATCCAAACCAGTGACCCCCCAGGCTACCAAAGTGGAACATGTGAACTTAACCACTGCACCACTGGGCCGGCCCTCAGATCTCTTTAAATGAATGATTATGGTCTATCATATTACTGGAAAACATGTTTAATTGCCTAATGATCTCTTAATAGGAGTTAATATGAGAATGCACATGCTTCAGTTCCTTTTGGATTTTCCACCAGATGAGATCCAATATTAACTCTAAAAAATAAGTATAGAGAGTCACAGTCAATAACAGGCCCCATTATCTTAGAGTGGAGATTGTATAATAGTTCAAACTTTGACTCCTTAATAATTAGGGCAAATTATTATACTAGAAATTGTAAAATTGGCTGTATGTATACATCTGAGGCCCTTCACAAATAAATACTTAGATCACAAAACCACATCTCGGTAAAATTCTTTCCCAAACCAACACCAGGTGTGTACACAAAGATTGGA